CAATGAACTCCTTCAACTGATCGATTGGAATCATCCCTTCAGATGAGACAGGGATAGCCTTAGTGGATGCTGCTTGTCTTAGGGGAGAGTCACTCTCTAGAATCTCTGGGAGCTTGCCGGGTGCATGGGTGGATTCTTCTTCCATCAAGATTCCCACCCTGTCTGTTAGCTTGTCAATTCTAGCCTCTTGATTTTGCATGCATTTGGCCAAGCCAGCGATTGCTTCCGTCAAGTTGCCAACTGCTCCTCCATAGATGAAGTGTTTGTCACCATGGCTTGCATGATTGTCGTGGACGATGGAGAGTAGCATGGATTTTCACACAGATTGATCCTTGATTGACTCACGCTATGTGGTGTAAGTGGGGAGGATCCATCACTTGAAGCATCATCATCTTCCTTCAGAGCAGAGTGCTTGGATCCGGAGAGGTCAAGCAGAGCAAGAGTTTTCTTGATCTTTTCAGCAACATCGCTTCCTCCTTCAGATGCGTTTGTGGAAGATCTTGCTCCTTTTGAGGATGAAGATCCAAAAACAGGGGTTGACGCGGACGGCACTTGGAGCGCTTGTTGTCCTAAAGAGCTTGCTTTGCTCCTCGTAACTGGTCCGAAGCTTCCGAAGGTAACATCGAGGATGCTTTCCACATCAGCATAGAACCTGGAGTTAGCAGCCTTGGTAGAAGTTGAACCGAAGATGATTTTCTTTGAAGCCATTTCAATGTTCTTGGACTTTGGTGATTGAAAAGTTGAGATGAGAGGTAGAGATTGTCCCACTGGGCGTGCCAGAATTTGTAGACAATAAATTGCGTCGAGAAAATAAAATCAAGACCGAAAATATTGCAACGATCGTAGTATTTTATTTCGAATATTTGAATGTTACAATCTTTATGAATCCTCTGATTCTTCTTTCCAATAGTAAATAAATTCAAGGGTCTTTGAGCTTGATCTTGAATCTATATTTGTTTCCACGAACGATGATATTGTTTTTGAGCTTGAGCTTGAGCTTGATTGCTTGAACTTGATCTTAATTCGTTCTTCGTTCTTGAGCTTGAACTTTATTTCTTGAACTTGAACTTGATTGCTTGAAGCTTGAAACTTGTAGAGAAATTTGCGGTGTTTGATCCACGAGCTCTCTCTTGCTTCTTGTTATAACTTCTGGTGTCTTTTCTGAGTTATGAAGACCCCTATTTATAGTTGTGGAAGGGAGGAGTTGTGATAAGAACAAACTCTTTCGGACCAATCAAATTAAAGTGTGACATGGGTGCATTTGATTGGCCAGAACATGTCACTTGCACACGTGGCGCGATTTCATTGGCCTTTTAGTGTGACTGGGCATGCCTTGTCATTTTGACACGTGGCATGGTCCTATTGGCTCTTCCACTTGACTTGACGCGCCACGTCATTTGACACGTGGCACCAAACTGGGCCTCTAGGAATGTGTCATCTTGGGCCTAACGAATTGGGCTCATCACTTTAGCCCAATTAAATGGGCTAGCCCAATGAAATAAGACTTATTTTTTAATCCATATATATTGGAGTTATATTATTAATTCAGTTATATTAGCCCATAGTATTTATTGGACCAATATATCTTGAATTTAAAATATAGTCCAAATTATTTCTTGGATTTAATTTTAATAAAATTTATATGCCTACAATTATATTGCCTATGATTGTATTAGCATTTTCTATTTGTAGCAGTATTATTTTGAATTGTGCATCAAATTAAATTTAATATAGACAATGTGCCCCTTTCTTTCAACTCTTTCTATTTATTTTGTTTATAATAGCGGGGCTTAACCAAATTTATATGCACCTCGACTATTCTACCGAAGGAGTATAAAGTGTGCACATTTTGATTTGCATTTTCTATTTGTAGTACAGTATTATTTTGCACTGTGCATTAATCCAGTGGCTCTAATATTTGAGTTTCCGAAGTTTGGTTTCATATGGATGCGAGAAGGTAATTTTTTTCCTTTAAAAACAATTAGCTATTATTTTTAGTATAGGAGAAAAAGGAAATTACATTATATGAGTATCGATCTAGCACCTCAAGATTGTGAAGTAGTTTTTAGTTATCGGTTTACTTCACTAACAGCTTGTTTGGATAGATGTTATTTATCGTTTCTTAACATATCGTATGGTATTGTATAGTAGTATATTGTATCATTTTGATCTATACAATGTTTGGATAGATTGTATTATTTTTTGTTGTTTCATGATACTATGTACCAACAATATAAAGAATAAAGACAAAATTACATCAGATATCACTTGGGCCTATAGCTCATCCGAAAATGACTCATATTTGAAGCCCTAACCTGGTTTGGCCCAGGTTGTACATATTTTGAAATTTTTCTTTGCACCCATGAGCCCATAGTAAATTAGTAACGGTATTTTTTTTTTTTGGCTTGTACTCTCTCTTCCTCTCACATTTTCTACATATACTTCAAAGAGTCGTCCTCCATTACTGCTTCTCCCTATGTGTCACCTGATTGCAATGTAAGAAAATTGAAGAGTAGAAGTCCACCATTTGATGCCGTTCAAAGCTTCGCTTTCAAAAATAGGATTTTTTGAGTTTTTTAGTTATTTGGATTAGATGTTGTTCCAATTGATTGTGATTATCAAAAGGAGTTCAGAATTTAAATTTGAAGTGATTTGGAGTAGAGTTGAGTTAAATTTCAGAAAAGACGCAAGGAAGAAGACGAAGTCCTTTTTTTGTATAATTATGTATAATCTTATATAATAGTGTATATTAGTGTATAAACACATCTTATACACTTTTATATGCGCGTTTGTAGACGAACTTCTTTTACGATTTTCAGTTGCAATTCTTGTTCAAAACCAGTCCAAATCTCCACTAAATGACTTCAAATTTTATATACAACCTCCTTATACTATTTCTAACAAGTCTAAATAACACCCACCCCAAATTTCTCACAAAATCAAATTTGAAATTTAAACACACATATTTAAGCTTGTTAAAAATCTAATTTTCACCACTCAAATGGATTTGGTTTGTTGAACTAGTATTTGAGTCACAGTTACTGATTCGAAAATTAAATCAAAATCTTGAGCAATCCTTTTTTAAAAATTGAATAGTAATTCCGAGAACCTATTGAAGTTGGATGTTGAATTTTATTATTTTTGAGCTAGTTGGTTGTAAATTGATATGGGCTATAAAATTAAAAAGTAAGAAGCCCAATTATTTTTATGTGAAAAATTCCCAAGAATAAATTTGCAATAAGAAAAAGTAAGGTACAATGTAAAATTATTATATAAAAAGATATGATAGGTGATAAAATAGGATTATTTAAAAATAAGGAAGGACGATATGAGAAAGAAAAAAATAAGGTAATAACGACGCGACTACACCAAATCGGTTTTACATAAAGTGGTACTTTTCGTTGTTACACAACTTCGAATTTAACAATACGATACAATAATATTTAAGTAACAACCAAAACAAATATTGTACGATACAATACAATAGGTAACAACCGTCCAAACAAGTTGTAAATATTTAATAATATTTAAGTAACAATTAAAACAAGTGATTATTTTTTGCTGACCAACCAAAATTGCATGGGGCGCCCTATTTGGTCGCTCCCTTTTAACTTATACCCGTTTTGTTTTCCGTTTGCATTCGTACCCATATTTTTGTTAAAGGCGTTTTAAAAAGACGATTTTGACCTTCTTTAATAAAAGACTGACAAACTGCAAGACAAAAACTTAAGCATGTTTAGGCTAAAGTTTTAGCAAATGAACTAAAAAACTTCAGCTTGTTTACGCTGAAACAACTTCATGCAAGTGTGACATTAGCATGAAATTTTAGCTTCTAACATGAAACAACTTCATGCAAGTGTGATTCTGAAGATGAATCTGGATAAGTTTCTAACTTTTTGATAAAGTTGCTGAGCGGAGAGGAGGAGATCTTTTTTCACGAATGAGGTTGCAGATCACGCGATTAATGCGCGATGTAGGTTTTATATCTTTTGTCAGGGGTGTAATTGTCATATTATTACGAATTTTTTGTCAGCTGGCTACCAAATCAATAACTTTTAAAAATAGAACACATATTAAAAGGTGACACAAATATAGGGTACGACTGCAAATCCCTCGAGATTAACGCATCAAAAACCCTTTGCTTGGAAAGAAAGAAAGTGACCCATAAAGAATTGGTTATATATAAATAATATTGTTTATGAGTTAGAATATGAAAATCATAATTTATCGCAAAAAGGAATTATAAGGAAGAAGATGGCGTATAAGAAAGGAGCAATTTCGGCGGTTGTGAGGGAGATGCGAAAAGAAATACAAAGAAGCAGCAGAAGGAACAGTACGGTTACATCGCAGCCAAAAAAGGAGGTTAATTAAAAGGAGAAGAAAAAGCTTTCTCATTGCGCCAAGTGTCATTATCACAATATGCCAAATGACACTTTAGGACGATCTTCCAAAAAAATAATAGCTATAAAATTATTTGGAAAAAAAACTCCATCACAATTTCAGATTTCTTTATTCTTTTTCCAAAAATATTTCTTTATTTTTAAAAATTAACTGATTTGAAAACATAATTTTTTTTAACCTTTAACTTTACAAAATAAATCTGATTTAAGATATTATTTAAAAATTAAAACTTAAAAATTGAACATTTAAAAGATACTTTTTTTAACTCCTTAGCTTTGAACCATGAAGACCGAAATTTCTTTTGAAAATTTATTTAATTCAAATTTAAGATTATTTTATTTAACTGATTTAAAACATACATTTTAAAAAATTAACTGATTCAAAATTATTTGACCATGAAGACTCACTTTTCCTAAATTTTCTATGCAAAAATAACAGTCCCTCTAAATTGAAACTCACGAAACATAGGCACGACTGAAACTCACGAAAATGACGGCCAACTTCTATTTCTCAAACTGACGGCAACTTCTATTTCTCCGAGTCGGTTCCTAAATTCACATCTTCCTATTGTCAAAAATTAATGAAAACATACGGTTTTTACAACTGCGATGGAAGTTGAAAGTTGTTCGTATGGGGAAAGTACATATTTACAATTTAGACATTGCTTTCTCGATTGAATTGGTTCTACAAGATGAAAAGGTATTAAAATCTGTTATTGTCTTATAATTCGTCTTGTTAACTCTGTTTTTTAATTTACATATGAATACACATGAGATAATCAGTAGCAAAAAACCCGATTGAAGCATTTGTGCACCACACATGTATCCTTAATTATGTTTCTACGTGATATACTACAAGGCGTATCACGTTTTGCTTCTCTATTTTTTAATTTGCAAATCTGAATTTTTTTCTCTGCTATTCGTATATAATTTCTATGCGCGTATTCATGGGCTAATCAGTACCCAAAACCCGGTTGAAGTATTTGTGTACCAAACATACGTATCCTCAAATATGTTTCTCAGTGATATACTACAACATGTATCATATTTGGCTTTCTGCTTTTTGCAAATCTGGATTTTTTGCTCTGCTCTTCGTATATTTTTTAGTTTCTATGAGCGTATTCATGGAACAGTTCCTCTTAGAGACTGACTCAAACCATCTCTCCTCCAAGTTTCTCTGTCTCTAATGAGTTAGCTAAGGATGTTGTTTAAGTTAATAATTAGCTAATTAGTGGAGTCCATACAAGTGAGTGAACTATTTTGTGTTATATTAATTCAAGCGTTCTTTAAAGTTAATAGTTTTTCTATGCACATCTGTTACAATGAAAAGCACATACCTCTAAGTCGTTGTGCAATAAAATCAAGCTAATGAACTTAGTTTGTAGATTGATACATATGTTGAGTACCAGCCAAACAAGTCGGATGCCACCTCTCTGTTGCCTTCAATCAGGTCCTAGATTTCTCCAACAATAAGCTTATTATGTAGCGTGTGAGCATACATACTAAAAGTGTTCTCAAAATTGATAAGGTAGTACCTATTAGAGGAAACCAGAGAATAAAAAAGATCAGCTTGACTTTTAGAGGATGTTGGAAATAGTATATAACTTAAGAGGGAATAAAGAAAGGGATAGTATTCTACCCTTAAAATTTATTAACTTATTTACATATATTGAATACCATTTAGCTTTTGAATTACCGCTTTATCCATGATTGAATTAATTGAGGAAGTTAGTGTACCTTCTCTGTTGCTGCAATTTTATTGCCGTTGAAAGTTGAATTCTGTTTGGTTGGACTGTAAATGGAGGATATTCACTAATCCTATAAATCGCACCATTCCGAAACATTTCTCTGGCATAGCCTACAATAAAATCTCCACGACACATTCCCTGTCAAGCCTTGATGAACCTTTTTCCATCACTATTTCTCAGTCATAATTTTTCCTCCATGAAACATATTTGACAGTTTGAGATAAACATTTAGAGAAATACGTTTCAGGAACTTTATTCACTATTATGAGTTTCTTAGAAGTAATATAGGATATTTTTGATATTCAATATGGTGGTTATACATTGTGACAAATTAAAGATTAATTTAATTTTTTATTCTTCACTTATAACCAGTTGATTGGCTAATATTTATACACCTTTACTTAATACGACACTAATTACCGCAGATGTTACGTGAATTCACTAAGAAACCTACAAGAACGATTACAATGTATTCCAATTTGATGACATTGAGAAAGTGAATGTCCTTAACTCTGTTATGGTTGTTTAAGATGCTTTCAGATACCTAGGAAGAGCTGGCAGCCTTAAACTTGTCATTTTCAAGCTCAATAAATTATGCAGAAGATCAGTTTAGGCGGAATACTCTTTAACATACCATGACAGAGTTAAGGACGTTCACTTTCTCATGGAACTCTCATCCAGGTTCTTCTTCCTTCCTCTTTCTGCATTGTACTTGCATTATTTCTTTCAACATATAAAAAATATGGCTGGTGCATTTGGTACAACCAAATATTTTTCATTGAAAATTTCTCTGCGATAAGTTTTTTTTTTCCAGATATGTTGAATTTTACTTGCAAAAGAAGGGCCATGCCAGATCAGGTGACATGAATATCAATCGCTATGAGGTATTCCAAGATGTAGGATTAAGGCCGCTGGATAAGACCATTGAGGCGTCGTAATTCAGCTAGCTTGCTTACTTGATTAAAATTGGCAAATCTTTGTTCAGTAAGCTTTTTTTATTTATTTATTCTTGATCTCATGGCTATTGATGAAAATTAATCTTTCATGTTCTTAGGAGTTTTTCCTTCTTTTTTAAATCGAATGTCTCAAAGAGACCCTGGGGAGTTTTTCTTTCATTTAGGTGAAAGAACCAAAAAAAAAATGAGTGGATTGCTTATGTCATTTTTCAGAATATATTATAGTAATTTTAATTTATGCAAGTCACGAATAGTTGTCAACGGTTCTCTTAATACTAATTATCACTAGAATTAGACTATTTAAGTTTGTCAATGATGATGTTTATTTTTTCTCGATACAAATCGTTAAAGAATAGTTCATTGTGTTTTCATTATACCTTTATTCTACACTTAATCGACGTGGTTATTGATTTCTCTTCGCCCATTTAATATATTGCATGCAACAATTCAACAACTAATCAAAATGAAAACGACAATCTAGGAAATAATGGAGGTGAAATAGCAGAACATATGTTTATCGAACTCTGACATAACATAGAGGCATAAAAGAAGTGTTGTGAGTGACTGTGTGTGTGTGTGTATATATATATATATATATATATATATATGCATAGAAAGGAAAGAATTTATTTTGTGAGAGGAACTTTTTTCCATCACTGTTTCTCAGTCATAATTTATCCTCCATTAAACATATTTGACTGTTAGAGATAAACACTTAGAGGAATACATTTCAGGAACTTTATTCATCAATATGAGTTTTTTAGAAGTAGAATATGATTTTTCTGATATTCAATTTGGTGGTTATATATTGTGACAACTTAAAACTTAATTAATTCTTTACTTCTCTTACAACCAGTTGATTAGTTATTGTTTATATTCCCTAGCATAATACTACTTTAATTACCACAAATATCACATGAAGTTATTCAAGAAAGCTATAAGTACAACGATTACAATGTATTCCGGTTTGATGAAAATTAGTATGATGAATCCTTAACTGGAGCTACCTCTGTTAATTACTATTCTATGCATTAATAGTAAACTCATGAAACATCTCTGAAGTGCTAGACTGAGCTCCTTATAGATTTGGCGATTGATCCTCCTCTTCTAAACCAAAAGGATATAAAAATGGATAAATGTTAGCTCCAACTTTTTGGTTGTTTGAAGTACAAACTTTTTAAGCCTATGATACTACATTTATCAAATTGAGATTTAACATTTGATAGTGTGGTTTTTCACCTAAGAAAATATATTTCTTTTATATTTTATGGTGGAAGTTAGTGCTTTCAGAATATTTACTTGCTTACTCTTTTCTTTTGGGTAACTGAATCCTAGATATGTGCTAAAATGCAATTTGTTAAAATTTAGCCCTATCATAATAGGGACTAAAACAATCAATTGGAAAATCAGAAGAGAACAAATATTTTTCCCATCGACTAACATGATGCTGCTAGGTTCCACTGGAGAAGATACATATGTTCCCCACAGTCTCTATTTCATGCTGTTATAGGTTACAAGCCTAAAAATGGTGTGTTTACCCTTATAGAACTCTGAAATTAATGTCTCAACACGAGAAACCATGACCAGAAGGCATGTTAATATAGAAATAAGAGCTTATGAACCTTTTATTCAGAGAAATAACATTCTATAAATTAGCCTACAGAATATTAAACTCATCTTCCTGCATGAATAACATATTTGGTATTCAACTACTCTTTCAATTTTTACATAGCTATGACATTATCTTGGTGTGTTATTGGAAAAGCATGTCGATGACTTTGTTGATTCTGGGAACAACTAATATTTTTGTCATGGAACAACTAATATACGCTTTACATTCAGATTTTTTTAGTCATCGTCTTATGATATGTATGACAAAGGAAAACTGATAATTTATAGTTTAATCAATAAGCAAGATTTCTTAGTGGCAAATATTTTATGCAGAAAATTTTCTCTATCACGGTGGGAAGTAAACAATCGCATGGACCTCAAATATTTACTAATCGCTCTCTTCTTTGGAATGAATGAATACCAGTATCATTCTCACATCTAAGGTATACTGTTCGTCAAATTTGGTTCAAGCATTTTCAATTTTTGTCGAGTCATAAATGTAGCATTCACTGATCGAGTAAAAAATTATCAACTGTCATGGTCTGTGAAAGGTTGAAATAGGTTTGAGCTTTTACATAGAAATTTGAAGTTTATTTGAACCAGTGATTGGCAATTGTCATTTTAAAGTTTTATGTGAACCACTAATTGGCTTAAGGATATGAGGCGATAGTCAAATGAAAGCAGCTGAGGCTCGGAAAGGAGTTGCAACACTAGGCACAGCACCACAACTGATCAAATCTCTACGGTAACAGTCATTTTTGAATTACTTTAGGCACTTTTAACTTTTAAGTCAGTTGTGATACTTGCAGAAGCCACATTGACCAAGCAAGTTTGCTATGCAAGCACCATGCTGAACTTTAGGATAACTATTTTGACTATACGTTCTTATATTTAAAGGACTTTTCATGATTTTTAGACTTCTTAATTTGGCTTTGATGTTTCTATTTTCAAATGTCACATAGAAGAGGTACATACCTATTCCTCTTCTTTGCATTTCCTTTTCCCTGGTCCTTCTTTTTTAAAGTAATCCAGTCTACAAACTCATGAATCATAAACTTTAATGAAAATAATATGTCTGAGTAAAATAATAATATATCTTTGCCGACACGTTGATACCACAATCCGCTGGTGTCGTTGGAAAAAAATTTCTGGAATCACAATATTTACAAAAAAAAGTTCCAGATTCTTCGTAGATTTATACATATATGCTTTTGAATATAGTTATGGTATTCTGCTATTATACTTTTCACAGCTTTGCGCGTTCTGACTAAAAAAATTAAATCTCTCTACAGACACATCGAAATCACGACCCACTTGTGTTGCTGGAAAAGGACTTCTAGAACTACAATATATATAAAATTCAGGTTTAGATTATTTGTATATTTAAACAGATATTCTTTTGAGCTCAGTTCTGAATTTCTGTCATTATGCTTTTTCCAGCTATGCACCACCATACTATAAAATTATATCTCTTTGCAAGGATGTCGAAATCATGATCCGCTTATTATACCATTAGAAAGAGGACTTATGATAGTACAATATATATAAAAAAGTTAAGGTCCAGATTCTTTGTTAATTAATACAGATATGCTTTTGAATTTAATTATAAATTTTTGGTATTCTACTTTTCACATCTTTGACCGTTATGACTAAAAAAATCACGTCTATCTGCATACAAGTTGAATAGCCAATCTGCTTATGCTGTTTGAAAGAGGACTTATAGAACTACAATATATACAATAATCAAGTCTAAACTATTTGTATATTTATAAACATATTCTTTTAACTCCGTTATAAATTTATGTTATTCTGCTTTTCACAGTTTTATGCGCCCTGACTAAAATAATTATATCTCTCTGCAGCCATATCAAAACTACGATCCACTTATGCCGTTGGAAAGAGAATTCTGGAAATACAATATATACAAAACTTAGGTCCAAATCCTTTGTAGATTTATCTCCTTTCTTCCGGTAATATCAATCTTTCTTCATATGGAATGTTTTGTAGTTGTTATGTATTCACTGTGATTGAACTATATTTTATACTTTAGCTGTATCACAATGGTTCACATATCAGGGTCTTTTAATTACTTTCATCAACACTTTTGGCCATCGTTGCTGAAGCACCATTTTTTTGGTTGAGTTCAATCCAACAATTATGAAGGTGAATTTTGTACATTTTTTTAAAATAACCAAAGTACCTCAATCAGGTTCACAAGTAGTAAAACAATATTCTCAGTTAATACCATTACTCATTATGAGTCATGGAGGAAGAGTTTGGGTGCCAATTCAAGTAGTTGGTCAATTAAGTACTATTAGGTTTGTGTATCGAACATTTCATAAAACCATCAAACTTGCCTTTTTACTAATTATTCTCTTTACTGCTTTGATAGGGTTGTGCGGAAGTTGTCGATACACTATTACCTCTTGAGGAGGTTCAAATACATTCTATTTTCCGTGTATCTCAACTCAAAAAATTATCACTACTCTTGCGTTAATTATTCATCTGCATATTCTAGATTCGTTAGGTCCACTATACCCCTTGCCTCAAAGGCGGATGCGGCCTTATATAATCGGGTAATGTGCACTCATAAAATTTAAATTTAGGTTTCATCCCATCCTTATCTAAGGCTAATCTTGCTAGCACATTCAAGGTGGTTGGTGGCACTAATGCAAGTGCCTATTCAATGGGCATGCTTTATCTAGCCGTTGCTACTTGGGAATTCCTTTTTTTACTGATTCTTTCTCAAATTACATATACCTATGGCCTGGAATAGTAAGTCATAATATCTTCCATGGACAAGAAAACCGCAATGCAAGTGCATGATAAATATCATCAAAGTCAAAAGTACATAAGAAATAATAAGAACTCCAGATCAAAATTATGAAAAGATTTTTATTTAGCAATTTTAAAGCAGTTATTGTCAATTTTAATTTTAAAATTTATTTGAACTAGTGATTAGCTTCAACATATGAGGCGAAAGTCAAATAAAAGCACTTGAGGCTCTGAAAGCAGCTGCAACACCAGCCACATCACCAAAATTGGTCAAATCTCTACAGCCATGGTAATTTTTGAATTGCTTCAGCCACTTTCAAGTCAGATGATATTTGTGGAAGCCACTCTAATCAAGCAACTTAGCTATGCAAACAACAAACAGAGAAACCAGAAAAAAAAATTCAATGCAATCATGGAGGTTTTATCATTTCAAGTGGTAATTTGACTGATGAATACAAAGAAATGACATGTAATGTAAGCTAGACATCTTTTTTAGAAACAACTCAAAAAGATTCATCTATTTGATTTTTGATTTAATTTTTTGAATGTGATCATTAAATTTTGTCTGCAATATACATCTCGTTCTATTATTTCTTTCCTCTCTTTTTTCCTTTGAGCTAATCCGTACATCGCACGAGTACGTATACTAGTTATTACTAAAGCATCTGAGCCTGGGAATTTTCAGAGTTTTATAAATAACTTGGTTCTTGCCAATGTTTTTTGCATTATCAGTGATTTATTCGCAAATATATGGAAGCAAGGAGATGGCGAATAAGAACACAAGCAATTTTTTCTTAATTATATATTATATAAAATTGCGGTAGTATTATTTTGCAGTATGTATATTAAAGTCGTTAAGTCTGAATCTCTTCGGAATATATATGAGAAATATTTAAAATTTTACGTGGCTTTATTTTTGAGTTTTTGAAGTTTGCTTTAGTATGGATATATGCATCAATGTCTTTTTTTTCCTTTTTCTTTCAACTCTGTATTAATTTTGTATGTGCCTATTTTTTTGCGCAAACAAAAAAAAGAACTAGCTGAATCATTACATTGTTATCCTGGGTTAGTCTATGGATCAATATCGTTGTTGCAGACTTAGCGGTTAGGGGTGTACAAAGAAAACCGATAAACTGCACCAATCAGATAATTCGAGTCAAATCGAGAAAAAAATCCGACTATGGTTTGGCAGTGGCGGATCCAGGATTTTAAAGTCGTGGGTGCTCACTGATAAAAATTTTGAAAGAAGAGGAAAAAAGAGTTTAGTTATGGGTGCTCAATCAATATTTATCTAAATATTTTTATAATTACCTATACAAATTTGCTAAATCTTGTCATGGGTGCTTGAGCACCCAAAATGTGCATGTAGATCCGCCCATGTGGTTTGGTATTGAAAAAAAAATCCGACCATAATTGGTTTGGTTTGGTTTTAACTAAACAAAGTCAACCCGAAACCAAATCAATCCGACATTACATATATAGAAATTTTAGATATATTTAATATATAAATATACTTATTGTGATGTAATTTATAGATATTTCTTAAACTTTTTCTTAATTTATCATTTAAGGTATTATTTCAAGGTTGGACTTAGAACTTTGAAATGTTCCAATAAGTTCTACAGTCATTAATATTAGTAACTTAAATAATGCTAACAAAAGCTCAAACCAAAATCACATCAATACTAATGCTAACAAAAGACATTAAATTCAATACTACGGACGACAATGTATTGAATATCTATTTTGTGTTTTGCAATAATTTAGATAAAAATGCATAACCTATATTTATTTTTTCTTTAGCGTTTAGTCATGTAATTAATACTCCCTTATCAGTATACTTATTTTAGCATGACTTAGTACTTTTAGATTATGTTATTTTTATTATGGCTCTTTAATTAGTAATATTTGTATTATATATTTTTATTGTCTTTATTGTTGAATATATTAGGATAATGCCATGACACATCTCATATTTTGTATTATTTTCTTGAAAAATACCTTATATAGTTGTATCTTACTAGGATTAAAGAAATATTTTGAGCACAAGTTATATGTTTTATGCTACGAAGATTTTACCGGGAAAAACCAAAAAAAACCCGAATATCCCGAAAAATTGAGAAAAACCGAGATTGAAAAACCCGAGTTTTATTGGTTTGCTTTGGTATTTAGATCTTATAACACGCAATTAGTTTGGATTGGTAATTGCCAAATCCGAACCAACCCGACCTACGAACACCCCTAGTTGCACTTATAATACTAAGGGTCGTTTGGTAAAATGTATAAGAAAAGTACTAAATATAGTGTATTAGTAATGTTGAGATTAATAATGCTGGAATTCGTTATGCTGGGATTATTTCTTATCTAATGCTTGGTTTGATGTATTAAAAATGACATTCATCGCATAATTTCTTAAAAATTATTTATTTATAAAAATACTCTCCACAATCTTTGGAAAGAATATGGAATTTTTTGTGAGAAGGCAGTATCTTTGTGCATGCTTATCCATATATTAAAAACTAAAATAAAAAAAGGGGCAGCCCGGTGCACTAAGCTCCCGCTATGCGCGGGGTCCTGAAAAGGGCCAGACCACAAAGGTCAATCGTACGCAGCCTTACCCTGCATTTCTTGCAAGAGGCTATTTCCACGGCTCAACCCATATATTAAAAACTATGGTTACTAATACCATAATTTATTATAATACATATATTAGTTATACATAGATTGAAAAACACCACCAAACAAGAAATTAATGATATGAATGCTATATATTATTCCCGAATACATCCTACCAAACGACGACCCCCTTACTAAAGTCAAGGGTCAAAATTCAAGGCTCGTGACTCATGAGTACAAGTGATCAATAATTAATCTGATAAACGAATAATCGTGCAGATAATATAAGTTAACTCAAAACAGTTGATATTTTTGAAGCAACTGTTTTTTTTGAATTTATATATCATTTTAAAGACGAAGCTGATTTAATTCTTGGCAAATTAGGTATTGACTAGCAATCGGGCAATTCTTCTAGAAAAGTTATACTTAATTAACAAAGACAATGACTTTGCTTGCATTTGCAACTATTCAACATTTCGCTTCTCAACTTAGCCTCAGAGTTCTCTGTTTTTGAAGTTTCAACTTCTAGAAGGCCCATTCCATGTTTTTCCAACTTTTATGCCAACAAATGCCACTTGGCAAATCATTTGTTTTTTTAAGAAATTAACCTACATAGCCGTTCACTCAACAAAATAACCAACATATATACAATATACGTATATATGTATGTAGTTGTATATAAATAACTGTATAATTTATGTATACCAATTAGGGGCTGTAAATATTTTTGGCATGCCAGCCAAAAGTGTAACTCCTCTTGTCTTTTTTTTTGGTTGGGGGGGGGGGGGGGAGGGGGTCGAGATGGTAGTGGTGGCTGTGGTAGATTTTTACTTTATTTTTGAAGTAATCAAATTGGACATGTCATAGAAAGTTACTCGTTAATGCAGGTAACCTTTTAGGCGAAGAATACTTTACACTATTTATCTTAAGTATAAGTTAAAATCATATTTACACCATATTCTTGGTAGTGATAAACTAAAAGAGAACTCTTAAAACCAAATAGATGAAAGTGAATGAAAGGACTACTAATAGTGATAAAATATAAACCACAAATAGGTGGTCTCTCAACATGTATGTATACAAGAATATATCAATCTGCAAAGAAGGAAAAAAATAGAAAAAAGTACCCAAAATCTAATGCTAAAACATCATAAATAAACAATAATCTAAACCAAATAACCAAAAACATATATGCATACAAAACATGTCAAAGTGACATTTATATAGACTCCAAAATCTCTGTTTTATGCCTGTTGATGTGTCCCATTTCCATAACCATTAACACCATTTGTTCCATTTTGTGAGTTCTTATTAGAGTCTGATTTTTTCCTTTTGATAACAATAAACCAAGTGAATGCTTCTAATAAAACAGCAATTGCCCCTAAGGCAATAATCACTCCAGTGTAAGCTCTTTTCCAATTCTTTTGCCCATTCAAAGCATCAAATCCTTCAAACACATTGGTAATGCTCAGACTGATCACTGCGTATCCAATAGCATGGTGGTATATGTTCCAATATAATCTGTATTTGTGGTCTGGCTTTGGCCTCAGTAGCAAAGCAAATACCTGAAAAGTATTCATTCATACAAATTTAGCAATTAATAATGGGCCTCAGTCTTGTGTCATGCGAAAGGGGAGCCTTAGCGTAACCGGTAAAGTTACTTTAAAAATAGCGAGTGGATGTATAATATGTATAATCCATGTATAATTAGTGTATAATTTATGTATACCGTCTATAAAAAATAAACAATGAATATGGCTGACTATTTGTGTAAAAATAGTTAACATGTTAATAGGGGAAAAAGCAAAATCTTTTGCTCTCTATTTAAGGGTACGCTCTTTTGTGCGTGTGCAACTGTCCGCAGAAGCGAATTCAAGATTTAGAGTTAATGCGTTAAGATAAAGCTACAAGGGGAGCCTTGGCGTAATTGGTAAGTTATTGCCATATGACCAGGAGGTCACGGGTTCGAGCTGTGAAAACAACCTGCTACAGAAATGCAGGGTAAGGCTGCATACGATAGCCCCTTATGGTCCGGACCAGGGGCGGATTTAGGGGGGCGCAAGGAGGTTCACCCGAACCCCCTTCGCCGAAAAATTACACTGTATATATAAGGCAAAATCTGGTTTTACAAGTTCAATTCCCACTAGCTACAAAAACTTTTTTTGAACCCCCTTCGTTGAGATACTGCTTCCGTCACTGGTTCAGTTGAACTCGCCCCACTGACTTTTTCAGATATGTATAAAAGTCTATTTAAGAAAAAGTGTAATACCTGAAGAGTTCCAAGGCAGAAGAGAGTGATGCCAATATTCCTGTGAGTAGTGAATTTGATACCAACAGAATCACTGCCAAGTTTGAGACCAGTGCCCCATCCAGCAACACCAACAGCATAGGCAGAAGTTTGACAAGCAACATGTAGATAAAACCAAGCTGGATTTGCTGATTTGAACACCTTTAAATACCTTGCAAATACTGCACCCATTGGCATTAACACTCCCCAACTCACTGCATTCAATACTCCATGAACCTGTCAATAATTTTCAACAACCAAACCAGTCAATAATACATCTCTTTTCTTTTCTTTTCTTTTTTCCCCCTCCTAAATACTTGGGAAAATAGCATAGTGCATATAGCAAATTAGCAATGAGTTTAACTTCTATACATTAACGGTAAAGAATTTACACTATATATCACCCTAGACGGATTCAGGGTGTAAACTCTATGGATTCAACATTTAAAGTTCTTAAGCTCATTATATATTAAAGTTATAGGTTCATATCTACTATTTGTTGCAATTTTAATGAATTTTCATACATAAATTTGTGTGTTCTGAGCCAAAAGTACATCCGCCCCTGCTATTGTAGACATCCGGAATTTAAACTTGATAGGCTCAATCTAAGTTTTGAATCAATAGGACTTTTGAAAATTTTACGCTATGCGTTGAGAATACTGAGTTCAATTAAACCCAGTAAACTACGTTGCGTCTGTCTTTACCTAACAGATAGCTACATTAAACTGCCCATATAAAAAATTGGATTAATAACATGAAAAATCAGGCAGGTTATGCATGGTGTGATATAGTAAAATACATTAACATTACAAAAATTATTTTCATTATCAATGTATATAAGTTAAATCTTAAATAAATTAAGAAAGGGTGTGAACTCACATTTCTTTTACGTTGTCTAGAAGTGATTGAGCTACCACCATCATTCCCTAACTGGCCAGTTGCAAAATCAACACTTCCAAAAGACCTCATATTATCACCAGATTGGCTATGAGCTTGCAAAACCTGACCAGAAACTTGGCCATTTTGCCAAACCTGATTAAAACTAGTCCTTCCACTAGGAAGTTCCAAACTTGCAAAAATAATATATTCATTGTTTGAAAACTCTGCTTCAATTCTTGGCACATTAAAACTCAAAGAACCTTGTCTTAACTGAGTCAAATAATCAGCAATAGGAGCAGTGTAAGCTTGAATTTGGTCACTGGAATTTTTAAATGCAACCAAACATTGTGCACCAGCCATTCTTCCTCCATTAATATTTAAACCCCAAGCTACCCAATCCGAATCTGTAACTCCTCTATGTCTATAAGCAAGATCAACTGTGTGATTATTTTGATGATAAGTCCAGTGAAGAACAGAATTGAGCAAAGGTAGAGGATTACAAGTTGCAAAATTCTTATTATTTCTGAATGCAAAAGCTGAACAGTTTTGTGTTTGAGCATAAGAAGTAGTACAAAATAGACTTAATAACAAGAATGATGAAAACAACAAAGTTGTTACAAGTCTATCCATATTTGAGAACCAAATTCAAGAGCTGGCTATTTTTGCAAGAATTGGCTATTTTTTAAAGGGAATTGTCTTTGTTAGGTTTTGGATGAATGAATCAAGAAACTGAACTACTTGCTTAATAATGTGGAAAGTGGCTTAGATTTTATAGATTTTGGAAAAGAAGGTGAAAGGAAGGTGAAGTAGGTAATGACAATTTTAGGGAGTTAGTTGACTGTTTCCTTTACGTGGAATCTTAGGCAAATATGTGAAAAAACTAAGTGGGCGCTTGGACATAAGAATTATAAAATTTCGAAAATAATAATAATAGTATTTGAAAATTAGAATTATGTTTGGACATGAATACAATTTGGGTTGTTTTTTAATTTTTGTGAGATCTGAAGTGAAAATTTTGAATAATAATTTTTTAGAGTTTTTCAAATTCTCGAAAAATTTCGAAATTAATCTTCAAGTGAAAATTAAAAATTTTATGACCTGATTCTAAAATAAAGTCAAAAAATTTCGAAAATAAATAAATAAAATTTAATGACCAAACGGTTCCTAAGTCCATTAGAAATGAAATACAAAGAAGAGTTCTAATGGAAGTAACCAGGAAAGTGTTTGATATTTTTTTTGGGGTTTTGTATTAAATTCAGAGATTGAATACTTTTCTAAAACTGACTTGACTTGGTGCTCAAACTAACCTTGCTTTCACACATGGAAAAGTCTTAAATTTATTAATTTATAATTTTGTGACTAATAGGACATAATTTGGACATTTGGTCATATAGTAGGTACTATTGTTTTTAGAAATTATAATAGTACAAGAGAATAGTTCAATTTAGCTGAGGAGAGTGGTTGAACTATAAATATGTAAAGTTTAAGCAGATAGGAGAATGTAATATTCTGCCTCTTTTTTTTAAATGAAATAATTATATAAAACTTTTTGACAGAGTTATCTTAGGGGAGTTAACAATATTCTTGCGTGTGTTAAAGTTTGAAAGTTTTATTTTTACAACAAGGTCGATTTAGGACGGTTATTTTATCAGTGTCGCCTAGAATATCATCATCGTAAACTTCCCAAACTTTCCAAACATCTATTTTTTCTGTTGACTACATTTTTTCAACCAAAATATTTTTGGGGAAAAATTACTTTTTGTCCATGGGAAAATTATTTATATTCGGTATCGGTAAAAGAGCATAAAATTTATATATATTTTTGTATATATAACATACAGAGATATGTATATATATACATACATACATTTGTCGGCTATTATTTCAAGAGCGACTATACAATATTATTTTCCCGCAATTTTTTTGGAACAGATGAAGTTTCAAGAAATGATTATCAAATGTACGTTTTAAAATTTATTAGAAGACTTTTCTAATTCAGAAATGATTGTTTAAGCACCATAAATATCATGGCCCATAAAATATATTTAACTTTTTTGTTCTATAAAACAAAAGGTTTTCACGATAGTGTTCGGCGAACGGCAACATTAATTAGTCTATTATTGCTTCATGATGTGAGAATAATGTAATGAATTAATATATCTCTATCAATTCTAGCCCTCTAGAATAGTACAATATGGTTTACCAAGATAAGTTGATCTTTCTTTTGTCCTATTTCATTTTCTCTACATTTTTTTTAGTCCTACCACAATGTGGACAAATCTTACTAAAATTTCCAAATGTGTTGGTAAATCTTCTGACCCATAATATGTTCAACTTTTGCAAATTCTATTAAATAAGACTCAAGGACTCTTGACCAGCAAGCAACCAAACACTAGAATTAATGCACTAAAATATATAAGAATGCTTTTTTAATTAAGTGAAAATTAATCATGTGAGAAAAATTGAGAAATAATTAATATTCATGATTCAAATTATGCTTCAATTTGCTTTGTTCTTTTTAATAATTGTGAGTTTTATACACACAGAGATGATGGGTCCGAAACTTAATTAATGGTTTTTTAGACACAAAGTACGTTTTTAATGTTTTAAAAAAAAAGTCACAAAAATGAGTATTTCGCAGTACTATACTGCGAATCGGGTTAACGAAAATTTTGCCGTTAAAGCAATTCGCAGTATCATACTGCGAAGTAGTTTTTTTATTTATTATTTTTTTAACAAAAACACAGCGTTTAATGTAATAGTTGGGCCCAACCTTATTTAATAAAGTCAATTCGCAGTACTATACTGCGAATTGCCTTAATTAAATAAGGCTCTTCTTCTTCCATCTTCCCCGACATTCCAGCCCCCCTCCATTAAAAAACAAACTTAAGAGCTCCTTTCTGTCCCCCACCCCCCGTTTTATTTAAAAAAAAAAATTCAGGCCCACCCGTCCCATAAAGAGCAAGGCGTGTAGGTCCCACATACACAAAAAGCTTTGGATACCGTGTTTCGAGTGCAAAAATTCAATTTCAACATATTCAAAAAATTTACATCGAGGTATTTCAATTTAGTTTATGCCGAAGCTCGTATAGTCATGCATATTAGTATTGTTTAGCATGTTTCCATGTGAATTTATGTTATGTTTGTGTTTAATTTTGTATCTTTTATATACCCGGATTGATTTATTTGATACCCGAATTTATGTTATGTTTGTGACCAAAAATGCTACCGGATTGTTTGTGTTATATTTGATTTATATACCCGAATTTATGTTATGTTTGTGACCAAAAATGCTTAAAATTGATAAATAATTTGTATTCTTATATAATTTGTATTAAAATTTGATAAATAATTTGTATTGTTAAATAATATTATTTATTTTATTTATTTGTATTGTTAATGTTATGTTCATATTGTAGAGCCTTATAGCGTAGTAAAATATAGTATCTTTTAGCGAAGTAAAATATAGAGCCTTTTAGCGTAGTAAAATGTAGACCCTTTTAGCGTAGAGTCTCAGTAGCTAACAAAATTCTAAAAATATTGAAATTGAGACGTATAATAATTAAGGATTATTCGGTGGTACCGGGCCTCAAAAATCAAGCCTGGAACCCATACATAACTATTATCTCCAATTACAAAAATTTATAATTTAATTTATTAAGTTAACAAAATTCTAAAAATGTTGAAATTGAGACGCATAATAATTAAGGATTATTCGGTGGTACCGGGCCTCAAAAATCAAGCCCGGAACCCATACATAACTATTATCTCCAATTATAAAAATTATAATTTAATTTATTAAGTTAAAAAAATTTTAAAAATGTTGAAATTGAGACGCATAAAAATTAAGGATTATTCGGTGGTACCGGGCCTCAAAAATCAAGCCTGGAACCCATTCATAACTATTATCTCCAATTACAAAAAATTATAATTTAATTTATTAAGTTAACAAAATTTAGAAAATGTTTAAATTGAGACGCATAATAATTAAGGATTATTCGGTGGTATCGGGACTCAAAAATCAAGCCTGGAACCCATACATAACTATTATCTCCAATTACATAAATTTATAATTTAATTTATTAAGTTAACAAAATTCTAAAAATGTTGAAATTGAGACGCATAATAATTAAGGATTATTCGGTGGAAGCCTGGAACCCATACATAACTATTATCTCCAATTACAAAAATTTATAATTTAATTTATTAAGTTAACAAAATTCTAAAAATGTTGAAATTGAGACGCATAATAATTAAGGATTATTCGGTGGTACCGGGCCTCAAAAATCAAGCCTGGAACCCATACATAACTATTATCTCCAATTACAAAAATTTATAATTTAATTTATTAAGTTAACAAAATTCTAAAAATGTTGAAATTGAGACGCATAATAATTAAGGATTATTCGGTGGTACCGGGCCTCAAAAATCAAGCCTGGAACCCATACATAACTATTATCTCCAATTACAAAAATTTATAATTTAATTTATTAAGTTAACAAAATTTTAAAAATGTTGAAATTGAGACGCATAATAATTAAGGATTATTCGGTGGTATCGGGCCTCAAAAATCAAGCCTGGAACCCATAAATAACTATTATCTCCAATTACAAAAATTTATAATTTAATTTATTAAGTTAACAAAATTCTAAAAATGTTGAAATTGAGACGCATAATAATTAAGGATTATTCGGTGGTACCGGGCCTCAAAAATCAAGCCTGGAACCCATACATAACTATTATCTCCAATTANTATGTTTGTGACCAAAAATGCTTAAAATTGATAAATAATTTGTATTCTTATATAATTTGTATTAAAATTTGATAAATAATTTGTATTGTTAAATAATATTATTTATTTTGTTTATTTGTATTGTTAATGTTATGTTCATATTGTAGAGCCTTATAGCGTAGTAAAATATAGTATCTTTTAGCGAAGTAAAATATAGAGCCTTTTAGCGTAGTAAAATGTAGAGCCTTTTAGCGTAGAGTCTCAGTAGCTAACAAAATTCTAAAAATATTAAAATTGAGATGCATAATAATTAAGGATTATTCGGTGGTACCGGGACTCAAAAATCAAGCCTGGAACCCATACATAACTATTATCTCCAATTACAAAAATTTATAATTTAATTTATTAAGTTAACAAAATTCTAAAAATGTTGAAATTGAGACGCATAATAATTAAGGATTATTCGGTGGTACCGGGCCTCAAAAATCAAGCCTGGAACCCATACATAACTATTATCTTGTGGCGACCTGGCCCGTCGCCACGTGAGTTACCGCCCCGTTGTCTGCATAATATGTTCCCCTGCATTTCACTATTGGTATTTGAGGTGATCAGATGGAATTGGATTGGTTTTAGTTGGAAATGAGGCACTTAGCCTCTTAGAAGGAAGCTTGTTTTGGAAAAGTCAACCGGAAGTTGACTATGTAGTTAGAGGGCTCGGATGTGAATTTCGATGATTCGGTTAGCTTCGGGGGATGATTTGTGATGTAGGAGTGTGGTCGGAATTAAATTTGGAGGTCCGGTGTAGAATTAGGCTTGAATTGGCGAATGATGAATTTTTTGCGAATTCCGGTTGGTAGGCGAGATTTATATCCGGGGGTCGGAATGGAATTCCGAGAGTTGCAGTAGCTTCGTTGGGCGATTTTGGATGTGCGGGCAAAATTTCAGGTCATTCGGACATCGTTTGGTTGGGATTTTGATCGAATGTGAGTTTCGGAAGTTTTTAAGAAACTTAATGTGAGTTTCGGA